GTGACACTTTCTCGACCACATGGGGGTGCGCAGGGGGTGGTCCCTGAGCGCGGCCGCTATGCACGACGGTCGTCCAGGCACAGCAGGCGTGGCACTTTCTCGACACCACAGGGGGTGCGCAGGGGGTGGTCCCTGAGCGCGACCGCTATGCACGACGGTCGCCCAGGCACAGCAGGCGTGGCACTTTCTCGACACCATAGGGGGTGCGCAGGGGGTGGTCCCTGAGCTCGGCCGCTATGCACGACGGTCGCCCAGGCATAGCAGGCGTGGCACTTTCTCGACACCATAAGGGTGTGCGCAGGGGGTGGTCCTGGGCTCGGCCGCTATGCACGACGGCGTCAGGCACAGCAGGCGTGGCACTTTCTCGACACCATGGGGGTGCGCAGTGGGTGGTCCCTGAGCGCGCCGCTATGCACGACGGTCGTCCCAGGCACAGCAAGCGTTGGAACTTCTCGACACCAGAGAGGGTGCGCAGGGGTGTCCCCCTGAAGCTCGACCTCTATGCAACGACGGTCGCCCAGGGCACACAGGCGTGGCACTTCCTCGACACCATAGGGGGTGCGCAGGGGGTGGTCTCTCACCGCGGCCGCTATGCACGACAGTCGTCCAGGCACAGCAGGCGTGGCACTTTCTCGACACCACAGGGGGTGCGCAGGGGGTGGTCCCTGAGCTCGGCCGCTATGCACGACGGTCGTCCAGGCACAGCAGGCGTGGCACTTTCTCGACACCATGGGGGTGCGCCGGGGGTGGTCCCTGAGCGCGGCCACTATGCACGACGGTCTTCCAGGCACAGCAGGCGTGGAACTTTCTCGACACCAGAGGGGGTGCGCAGGGGGTGGTCCCTGAGCTCGACCGCTATGCACGACGGTCGCCCAGGCACAGCAAGCGTGGCACTTTCTCGACACCATAGGGTTGCGCAGGGGGTGGTCCCTGAGCTCGGCCGCTATGCACGACGGTCGTCCAGGCACAGCAGGCGTGGCCATTTCTCGACACCATAAGGGGGTGCGCAGGGGGTGGTCCCTGAGCTCGCCGCTCTGCACGACGGTCGTCCATGCATAGCAGGCGTGGCACTTTCTCGACACCATAGGGGGTGCGCAGGGGGTGGTCCCTGAGCTCGCCGCTATGGAAGACTGTCGTTCAAACACAGCAGGCGTGGCACTTTCTTCACACCACAGGGGGTGCGCAGGGGGTGGTCCCTGAGCTCGGTCGATATGCACGACGGTCGTCCAGGCACAGCAGGCGTGGCACTTTCCCGACACCAGAGGGGGTGCGCAGGGGGTGGTCCCTGAGCTCGCCGCTATGCACGACGGTCGTCCAGGCACAGCAGGCGTGGCACTTTCTCGACACCATTGTGGTGCGCAGGGGGTGGTCCCTGGCGCGGTCCCCCCCCCCCCCCGCTATGGAAGACGGTCGTCCAAGCACAGCAGGCGTGGCATTTTCTCGACACCACAGGGGGTGCGCAGGGGGTGGTCCGAGCTCGGCCGCTATGCACGACGGTCGTCCAGGCACAGCAGGCGTGGCACTTTCTCGACACCAGAGGGGGTGCGCAGGGGGTGGTCCCTGAGCTCGGCCGCTATGCACGACGGTCGTCCAGGCACAGCAGGCGTGGCATTTTCTCGACACCACAGGGGGTGCGCAGGGGGTGGTCCCTGATCTGGGCCGCTATGCACGACGGTGTCCAGGCCAGCAGGCTTGGCTTTTCTCGACACCACAGGGGGTGCGCAGGGGGTGGTCCCTGAGCTCGCCGCTATGCACGACGGTCGTCCAGGCACAGCAGGCGTGGCACTTTCTCGACACCATAGGGGGTGGCGCACGGGGCGCAGGGGGTGGTCCCTGAGCTCGCCGCTATGGACGACGGTCGTCCAAACACAGCAGGCGTGGCACTTTCTCGACACCACAGGGGGTGCGCAGGGGGTGGTCCCTGAGCTCGGTCGATATGCACGACGGTCGTCCAGGCACAGCAGGCGTGGCACTTTCCCGACACCATAGGGGGTGCGCAGGGGGTGGTCCCTGAGCTCGGCCGCTATGCACGACGGTCGTCCAGGCACAGCAGGCGTGGCACTTTCTCGACACCATAGGGGGTGCGCAGGGGGTGGTCCCTGAGCGCGGCCGCTATGCACGACGGTCGTCCAGGCACAGCAGGCGTGGCATTTTCTCGACACCACAGGGGGTGCGCAGGGGGTGGTCCCTGAGCGCGGCCGCTATGCACGACGGTCGTCCAGGCACAGCAGGCGTGGCACTTTCTCGACACCATAGGGGGTGTGCAGGGGGTGGTCCCTGAGCTCGGCCGCTATGCACGACGGTCGTCCAGGCCCAGCAGGCGTGGAACTTTCTCGACACCATAGGGGGTGCGCAGGGGGTGGTCCCTGAGCGCGGCCGCTATGCACGACGGTCGTCCAGGCACAGCAGGCGTGGCACTTTCTCGACACCACAGGGGGTGCGCAGGGGGTGGTCCCTGAGCTCGGCCGCTATGCACGACGGTCGTCCAGGCACAGCAGGCGTGGCACTTTCTCGACACCACAGGGGGTGCGCAGGGGGTGGACCCTGAGCGCGGCCGCTATGCACGACGGTCGTCCAGGCATAGCAGGCGTGGCACTTTCTCGACACCATAGGGGGTGCGCAGGGAGTGGTCTCTCGCGGCCGCTATGCACGACGGTCGTCCAGGCATAGCAAGCGTGGCACTTTCTCGACACCATAGGGGGTGCGCAGGGGGTGGTCCCTGAGCGCGGCCGCTATGCACGACGGTCGTCCAGGGCACAGCAGGCGTGGCATTTTCTCGACGCCCGACGGGGTGCGCAGGGGGTGGTCCCTCACCGCGGCCGCTATGCGCGCCGGTCGTCCAGGGCATAGCAGGCGTGGCACTTTCTCGACACCATAGAGGGTGCGCAGGGGTTGGTCCCTCACCGCGGCCACTATGCACGACGGTCGTCCAGGGCATAGCAAGCGTTGCGATTTCTCGACGCCAGACGGGGTGCGCAGGGGGTGGTCCCTCACCGTGGCCGCTATGCGCGCCGGTCGTCCAGGTCACCGGGCTCGCAAAGTGTGGCTGGCGCGGCGCTTCTCCTCTTCCACCTCTCCTCTTGAGTGGCGTTACAAACGGTATCGACGGTATCGGCCACCAACATCATTCTCACATGCTTCACTTCAGCTATCCTCACTCCAGCCATAATATAAGTATGCGGGGTTCCTCGGTAGCGTAATTCGCGTTCTCGCGTTTTCGGGTTTCCGGCGCTCCAATATGGCCCCAGAAGCCTAACCGCCCCAAGACGGCCAAAGAGGCCCCCAAGAGGGCTCCAAGACGGTCCAAGAGGGCCCTGGCACGGCCCAAAAGGCGCCCAAGATCGCTCAAGACGGCCCCAAGACGGCCCCAAGAGGGCCCCAAGAGGGGGCCCACGAACCTACGATTCGAGCCTTCCGCTCCAAGAGGCCCCCAGGAGGCCCCAAGAGGCCCCCCAAAGAGCCCAAGAGGCCCCCTAAAGGCCCTACGAGGCCACCAAGGGGCCCCAAAAGAGTCCTAAGCGGCCCCCAAACTGCCCCCAAAAGGTTTCAAAACTGATTCCAAGAGGCCCCCGAGAGGCCTCCTACGATATCCAAACGAACGTCCAAGAGGCGTCGAACCCATAAGCCAGGCACCGTGGCGGGATGGGTCGAACGCCACTCGATAAACTCTGTATACGGCAATCAATAAACCATTGTGTGTTACAGCGTTTGGCGCCATGCAGCAGTCGAAACCTTCTGTTTTGCAGCATCCGAGCATCCGGGAACAGTTTCTCTACATGTTTTCCAACCGTTCAAAGTCGTTTGAATATTTTCGGTTTTAAAAACGCTGTGCTTTCCAAGTTTCAAGGTTTCGGGCTCTGCAGCGGGTCGACAGGCCTCATCGTCGCTGGTCTCGTCCCACTCTCGCCCGCAACGGTGCTCGACTTGAGACCCGCCGTCTGACTGGAAAATGGTGTTCGGGATGATGGTGACGATGATGATGGCGATGACGGTGACGATGATGATGATGATGATGATGATGATGATGATGATGATGATGATGATGTTGATGATTTTGCTGTTGATGATGCAGGAGAAGATGATGATGATGATGATGATGATACTGATACTAATACTGATGATGATGACGACGAAGCTGATGATGATGCTGATGATGATGGTTATGATGGTGATGATGATGATGATGATGATGATGATGATGTTGACGATGACCACGATGGTGGTGATGATGATAATGATGGTGCGACGACTAAGACAACAAATGCGACTCTGACGATGGTGATGATGTTGATGGTGATCGGTTGGTTGTGGAAAGCCAATGATGGTGCTGATGATCATGTCGATACTGTTGATGACGATGCTGCTGCATTTGATGGTGGTCATGGTGATCATTATCATCATCATCACCATGATGATGATGGTGATGATGGTGGTGGTGCCAATGATGATGATGATGTTGATGATGGCATTGGTGATGATGATGCTGATGATGATCTGATTATGAGTATGTTGGTAATGATGATGATGCTCATGTTTGTGCTAATGGTGATGAGGGTTATGATGGTGCTGGTGATGATGATGACGATGATGCTGATGATGATGATGACGGCCGCGGTGATGATGGTAATGATGATGATGATGATGATGATGATGATGATGATGATGATGCTGATGCTAATGATGATGATGCTGATGCTGATGATGATGATGGTGGTGATGACGATGACGATGACGATGACGATTCTGATGATGATGATGATGAGGATGATAAGGATGATGATGATGCTGATGCTGCTGATGATGTTGTTGATGATGATGATGATGATGATGATGATGATGATGATGATGATGATGATGATGATGATGATGGTGATGGTGGTACTAAGTGTGTTCGTGAGGAGCGAGCAAGGAGGAGGACGGATCAGGAGGTAGGGAGCAATGGGAAGAGGAGATAGGGAGGAGGGAGCAGGATGGGGAGCCGGGCGCGCGCTTGCCAGCAGGTGCTTGCAGCCCCGGAGCCGCCGCCGCCACCGCAGCAGCAGCAGCCGCAGCAGCAGCCGCAGCAGCAGCCGCAGCAGCTGCGGACACCCGCGCTGTCTGCCCCGCCGGGGTCGCGCCAGGCTTGGGGCCTCCCATGGGGGCGTCGGCGGAGGCAAAAATTCTAGAGATGCTTGCCTTCCTCGGGGCACAAATAGTGACATGAACATGCACTTTCGGAGGTCTGCGCTGATTCTTCGGATCGGCGCTGGGCCCCCCTAGCGGAGCCTCCAGCGCCGCCCCTGGCGCGCTCCGCGCGCCACGAAGGGCGGTCCAGCGTGGATCCAAGAAGTGTGTGCTGACCTCCGAAAGTTTGTGGTACAGTTTTTTGTTTCTCTACAACCCGTTCCGTTTCCACGTGCCCGTGTGGGGCCAACATGTTCGGATGCCGCTGTCGGTCTACGCACGCATCAATTTGTCGTTCTGCTCCTACTTCTGTGTTCGTGACAGCCGTTTGGGCAACCACGCTGCCCGCTCTCCCTCCTCGTCGTCCTCGTTCTCCTTTCTTTTCGTTCAGCCCCTCTGGCTCGCAGGAGCTGACACATTCGGGGGCCCAGGTCACGAATTCAGCATGTAGAGTGGCACCAGCGGCCGCGCGGCCGACACATTCCGTGGGGTGACCGCCGACCATGTCAAGGGTGAGGGTGCTTGGGTGGAATCCTAAGTGGGCAATTGGAAGTCGTCTCGAAGATATCGCGTCCCGCACCAATCATCTGGACTTCACGCTCCTCGCAGGCATCCAGAAGGCCCATGAAGAGGGAATTTGGAGGGAGGGTTTATGACAACTTCGTTGAATTGTTGTTTTTTGCGCTGGTCCCTCCTTCCTCCTCCTCCCTCCTTCCCCTCCTCCTCCTCCTTCTTTCTCCCCCTTGGTACGCTGGGCTCCTTCTTTCTCCCCCTCCTCCATCTCGTTCTCTTTGCTTATATCTGTCATCATACATATATAGTTCCTCCATGCCGCACCCTTGGACGTGCCGGTAGGGCGGGGGGGGGGCGTTTCGCCTGAGACTTCCCCACTATTTCCCCACATGTTTCGTGGGTTTCTGGTTTTCTTCCCTGCCGCGGCGCACCCGCGTCTCCTCCTCACACCTCCCCTCCTCTCTCTCTCCCTTCCTCCCCTTTACCCGCGCTCAACACATGCACGGCCAGTGCATGAGACACGCGTCTACATACAGCCGCACGCATGCACACATTCGCACATAACACACACACCACACAACGCTAGTGCGCGCCTGGCGTGTTCACTGCATCACACATCCACGACGTGTGCGCCACATAGTGGGCACCCACATGAGACACGTCCCGATATGGCCGCTATGCACGACGGTCGTCCAGGCATAGCAGGCGTGGCACTTCTTCGACACCAGAGGGGGTGCGCTGGGGGTGGGGGCCCTATCCGTTTCGGGCTCGCAATACGTGGCAGGCGTGGCACTTCCTCGACACCAGAAGGGGTGCGCTGGGGGTGGGGGCCCTATGCGTTTCGGGCTCGCAAAGCGTGGCAGGCGTGGCACTTCCTCGACACCAGAGGGTGTGCGCTGGGGGTGGGAGCTCGTATCTTGTCAAGAACTGTAAACTCCTTGGCTCCAGCCGGCTCGGCGCGCCTGCGCTCTCACGCAGGCGCGCTCCTGTAGTCCTACTTCAGAGCACCGCCCTTCCTGCGCGCGGCAGTCATGCCGCCTAAACTTGCCATGGGCGCTCTGCCGCCTCCGTGTCTGGCGATGAAAAACGCCATGGTTCTGACGGGCGGCGAGGCCAGTGTAGAGAGCTCGCGCCGATGCGCAAGCGGAGTGGTGCTCTCCGCATTCAATGCGTACCGCCGCCAGCTTCAGAATCGGCGAGGTACGACGACGAGTACGATGACGAGTAAGACGATAGAACGGCAACGAGTACGACGACGAGTACGACGAGCACGACGACGAGTACGACAAGTACGACGACGAGTTGCGACGAGGGTTTAGAACGCAGGAATGCGCATATAAGTTAGTGACAAGCAAACACATAAGACTAAACATCAGTATGTGGGGTTCCTCGGTAGCGTAATTCTGATCCGGAATTTTGAATTTTGCAGCTGTTTCAAGGATGCAGGGCGAGTTGTTTTCAGATTGTGGCTCTCGCCTTCGTGTTGTGTACATTCGTTTTAACAGTTTGCAGTAGCTGTAAGGGGGAGGGCGGATCTTGTTCAGAATGGCTCTCCCCGCAGCGGCGCGCGCATTCGTGCTGAAGTTCGCTTCGAGGATGCAGGGTGATTCGTTTTGAAGATATGGTTCTCGTTTTAGCCCCGCGCGCATTTGTTTTCAACGTCTACAGTTTACAGCAGTTTCAAGGATTCGTAGGGTTGAAATCCCACAATGCCGTCTTGGTGGCACGGTTAAGGGTTGCCAGGACGCAGCAATCACGTTGATTCACGGTGTAGAAGTCCCAGGAATGGCGTCCTGGCGCGATTTGGGATTGTCAAGACGCAGCAATCACGTTGATTCGCCTTGTTGAAGTCCCAGGAGTGGTATTTTGGCACGTTTGAGCATTGTCAAAACGGTTGTCTTTCAATGGGGCACTTCCCGCAACGAACATACATGTTTGTAGGGACCCATGGGGAGGGAACTTGGAGGGAGGGTTTAGTGCAATATCGTTGATGCGTCTTGGGTTTGCGCTGGTGCCCCGCCTCCTCCTCGTCTTCCTCCCTGCTTTCCCCTTCTCTCGGCGCAGCGTCCGCAGCACCCCGCACGGTCCTTTGACATCCGATTCACTCCGTGCGTCGACGCTCCTACCTTCCCGACTCCGGCTGCCACCTCCGACTCCTGCCCCCGGGTCCGACACCCCAGCACCCCAGTCTGTTTGCCCTGGGCTCCCCAAACCACGACTTCAACCTCTGAGCGGCCAGCCAATTCTGTCCTGGCGCTTCGGCGCCCGCCCGATGCACCTACACGGGTGCCTTCAGCGCGGGACTTTGTCTGACTCTCTGTTTCCCTTCCGTTCCCTACCCCGCCCCGCCCCTCCCCTCCCCCTCCCCCATCCTTTTTTCCTTACAATGAATAGTTCTGCCCTGTCGCACCACCAGACGTGTTGGCAGCAGGGCGGGCCGGGCGTTTGGCTTGAGACTTCTTCGCCACTGATGCTCCTGAACTTTGAAATTTGGAACAGTTTCGCGGACGGAGGGCGGGGTGTTTTCAAAATGTGGTTCTCGCCCCATCGCCGCGCACATTCGTTTTACAAGCTTGCAGCGCTTTCAAGGATGGCGGGCGGTTTTTTTTCAACATGTGGTTTTCGCTCTAGCGGTGCGCGCATTCGTTTTCAAAGCTTGAACGGTTTCAAGGATGGCGGGTGAGTTCTTTTTAACATGAGGTTCGCGCTTTAGCGCCGCGCGCCTTCGTATTAGAGTTTGCGGCCGTTTCACGGATGGAGGGCGGGTCGTTTTCAACATGCGTTTCTCGGCTTAGCCCCGCGCGCAATCGCCTTCAACAGTTGCAGCAGTTGCAACGGTGGAAAGTGGTTCCTTGTCAAAATGTGGCTCTCGCCTTAGCGACGCACGCATTTGTTTTGACATTTTGCATCCGTTTCAAGGGTTCGTGTTGCCGAAGACCTGGGATGTTTTTGGGGCACGGTTAGATATTATCAGGACGCAGCCGTTATTTTGATTCGCGGTGTTGAAGTCCCAGGAACGGAGTCCTGGTAAGGCTAAATATTCAGGATGGTCCGGACGCAACGGTCATGTTGATCCGCGGCTTTGAAGCACGTCTGAGGGTTCCCAGACGGCTGTCTTCTAATAGGCCACTTCCTGCAATGAACATATATCATTTTTGGGATCTGTGGAGGAGTACTTTGAAGGGATGGTTTATGTATTGCAACATCGTTGGTGCGTTTTGGGTCTGCACGGGCCCCCTTCCTCGTCCTCGTCCTCCCTCCTCCTCCTCCTCCTCCTCCTCCTCCTCCTCCTCCTCCTCTCCTCCTCGTCCTCGTCCTCCTCCCCTCCTCCTCCTCCTCCTCCTCCTCCTCCTCCTCCTCCTCCTCCTCCTCCTCTTCCCTTGTGCGGGCGCGGGCCAGGCACGCTGCGGCTCCCCGCCGCGCAACATCGGGGGACCCGCGGCGGCGGACCCGCGCGGCATGGACACCCCAGAGATGCGGGAGCGGGTCCCGCCTCGCCTGCCGGCCCGCGGGGGAGCGAGGAGCGAAAGGGATCCTCCTCATCCTTCCTCCCCTCCCCCCCCTCCTCATCATCCTTTCTTCCCTCCTCTCCTCCTCCCCTTCGTCCTCCTCCTCCCTCCTCCTCCCTCCTCCTCTTCCTCCTCTTCCTCCTGCCTCTCCACTCAGTGATGAGCGGCAGTTGTGAGCTGCGATTCGCGCCTTCGAGTAGGACCGAACCGACCCTCCTGCTGCTCCTCCTCCTCCTGGTGCGTCTTGGGTTTGCATGGGTCCCCCTCCGCCTCCTCCCCTTCTTTCTTTTTCTTTCCATCTCCTCCTCCTTCTCTCTCTCCCCCTACTCTTCCTCCTCCTCCTCCTCGTCCTCCTATCTTCTTCTTCTTCTTCTTCTTCCTCTTTCTCCTCCTCTCCTCCTCCTCCTCCTCCTCCTCCTCCTCCTCCTCCTCCTCCCTTGTCCTCTTCCTCCTCTTTGTCATCTTCCTCGTCCCCGCCTGTCGACCCTGGCCAGGAGTGACCAGCGGGGGGCGAGGAGCGGGGAGATAGTACAGTCGGCGTTTGAGGCTCGGTGTCTCCTGATATCCTCGCATCGTGAAACAAATCGCACAGTCGGATTCCATTCGGATTTCGATATGGTTCCAATCCTATCGGGTCCTGTAGGACTCCAATCGGATCCTCAGGGAGCGCGCGGTACGACTCACTACCACGTGCGAAGACCACGCAGCCCCAATTTTCTACTATGGCTTGCAATGCACACCTGATGCGAGGAGGGTGGGAGGCTTCCTGAGGATTTTCTGACTGACTGAAGTCTTGCGTCAAGCAAACGCGTGGGCGAGATTGCACGTTGGCAATCAGAAGACACATGCGCGCAATGAGACTACAGACCCGGGCAGGTCGCGGGAGGAAGAAAAAGGGGGAGGGGAGGGGGAACGGGAAAAGGGGGGCAGAGGGCGGGGGAACTCAGTCTGCACGCGTGCCAAAGTATACACACACACACACTGTGCCCACTGCTGTCTCGGACGACCCCGGCCTCTACGCCGAGTAGCCCATTTTCTAGGGCGGCCGTTCGCATCGCACACTAGTTGTTTAACCAGAGAAGCGTCGCTCTTCGAAGGAATAGCTCTAGAAATTTGCATTTGGTGGCCACTCAGAAATGCAGACAGAGGCTTGGTTCCCGCCGTCTCCAGCACATCTGCATTAGACACTCTCGAGACATCAGACGGAGCGGTCGCAATCATTTCCCGCAAGCACTTACAGTGGAAAAGCATTTACAGTGGAACAGCATCAAGTCTACATTTGTCTGCTTTCAAGAGCCACAAAGAGTCAAACTAATACAGGAGCTTGCTGAGGACGCAAGACTTGTAGGTCAACAGCTTCCGTTTCTCCCCAATTGAAGATCGTCCCCATGTCTTACTTTGTTGCTGAAACGTAGATCTGCTTTCCCCCAACCGCCTGGTCAATTCATTGCCCACTCGTCCGTCTTGCGAAATCAGTCCTCCCTACTATACCGCTTCTGTTGCAAGCATGATCTGCTCCCCACCCGGCCTTGTGACTTGGCCATTGGTGGAGACTTGGATCTGTACGATCTTGTCCCAGTTCAAATCCAAACCGTATTCCTATCTTTCCGAGATGGTAGCGCCCAGAATCTGTTGTATTTTGCCAACATGTTAGGATCTCAACGCAGTGTCGTCTGCATATGAAACATCCTGGTTACTATGTATCCAGGTTCTTGGTGAAGTTGTAGGCCTGGTGACAGAGGGCAACCTTGCGTGGTACAAGCAGCCTGCTGGCGTTCAGAGGAATTACCACAATGGTCGACAATAGTAAAATAACGATGTGAATAAATGCCTCTGACTCTGACCACATCTACGATAGGTGGTGGTAGTCCAAATCGTGCCAAGGCCGCGCATAGACATTCTTGTTTCAATTGATCGGAAGCCTTCGCCCAGTCAATGAGGAGTAAGACAATACCACCGCTGTCGTTCAACAGAGCCGCGTCGATCATGCGCCTTACCAGCATGACCGCGTTGGTGCAGCATGGCCGCCAAGGCCTTGTATCCAACAGACAGTAACGATATTGGTAGGTAATTGCTGGGTAGTTCCGCGTTGCCCTTCTTGGGCAGTAGTACAACGTTGGCTTTTCGCCATGCGCTCGGCGTGTCCTGGTCGTCCCAACACTTCTGATATAGTTCTAAAAGTGCTTCGCATGCATGTGCACAATGAGCTATAACTTTTCTAGAAATCCTGTGGCACGTCGTCCGGCCCAGCCGCTTTACCGTTCTTCATTCGCTTTACAACAAATAGCAATTCTGCCATTGTTGAATTCCCCACTTCAACCGGAAGAGCTGCGCCAAGCGCAGCAGTGGCAGTAGGCATTAGATTCGCGAATTGTACTTGACATTGCACCTGTGCAAAATAATCTGCCAAAGAAGGTCCCGAGCTCCTGCATGCTTCGTTTGAGGCTTCTTCCGCAGCTTTTTGACGGCGTCCCAGCTGCCGCCAACAAAAGTAGTGCTTATCCAGCTCGTTCGATCGGCCCGGGCGTTCGTCCCAATCAACTTGTTTAAGGTCTGCTCGCGGTCAGCGTCGCCAGACTGTCTTGCGGACTTTCGCTGCTCGCTGAGATCCAAAGTCGGTTGAGATATTGGGCGGCTGTGGCAGTGGCAAAAGCTGATGGGCCTGTTTTCCACCACTACCACCTTAAGTTGGAGGGGGAGGAGGAGGAGGACGACGAAGAGGAGGAGGAGTAGGAGGAGGAGGAGGAGGACCCCCTTCCCCTCCAACTTATGGTGATGGTGGTAGAAAACAGGCCCATCAAAAGCATTTTCAACACGACTTGCCAACTCATCCAACGTACCGTGCAATACTGATGTTGCTGTGCATGCGTCGTAAAGCTTAGATGCAAACTTGGCCTCTATCTCTGGCCCTCGCACAGACGAAATATCATACCGACGCCTTCGGCATTGAGATTTTGTGTGCAACTGCATTGCTAAGTCCATGGTCGTCCAATCATGTTGGCTGCGTAATGCTTCTGCCTGATGCGCCCTGCACTGCGTGACCCAAGGGAAAACTGACATATGACACAACATATGGTCGATCTGGGAGAGCTTGTCTGGCGCGATGCTCGTGTCCATGGGCTTCACACCGAGGTTCTGGTATGTGATGTGATGATCGGCGGGTGTATTGAAACATATATCTGCGATGGACATGTCTGCGGCGATACATAATTCGAGCAACAGTTGCCTATTCGATATCTTGCGTGCCGCTGCCACACTCATCATATATATAGATGTTATCCGACGTGCCGTTCTTCCCCTGGGTGTTGCCGCAGTAACTTCGCGCTGAAGCATCTAAATCCCACAGTTGTGCTGTTTGGTGTCGTGGGCCGCGCAGCTTCTCGCAGCTCTGTGAAGCAAGTTTGGCGATCTGCGTAATCGTGGCCACTGTGCGGGATGTAGGCGGATATAAGCATCAATACCCCATACTGTACTCGAACTCTGAGCGTAGCGATTCTCGAAGTAAGCGCTCGGAAAGCTACGATGGCGCCGCGTGCCCACGGGGTAGCAATAGAAACAACTCCTGCGACTGAACGTCGTTCTGGAAGTTCTTCCCCGGATAAAGAAAACGAGAAACCATTATCTTCGTAGTGCTCTGCTTCATGGAGTTGTGTTTCCTGGATATACTAGATATCAATATAAGGTTGAACCATTGATTGGCATAGTTCCGTTAGCTTGATGCGCGAGTCCCTCCGGAGCCCTTCCACATTCCAAGTCCCAAGGCGCTGAGTTCAGACCAGGGTGCATCGTCGTGATTTGTAGACGATCTGGATAATGGGCCTGACGATGTGCAAGTTGGGGTCGACGGGGAAGTCGGCAATGGAGGAGTCGAAACAAAAACTGAGCATAGTGCAGAAGATGAGGACAAAGAAGATGAGGTGCAACATTGATGCTGAGGCCTGGTATCTTTGCCCCTGCCTGCTGCACGTGGTACGCATCCTTCCGCGGGGAGTCGACCATGGAGGGGCCAGCGAACTTCTTGAGGTCGATGTGGCAAGTTGGTATTTTTGCCCATTCCTGCCAAAACGGTCGCCGGTAATATCTGGTAAGTTGGCATCGGTGCCGGTCCTGGCGTCGTGCGGCATTTTCCGTGCTGCTCAGAATGATCTTGTTCTTTTCGATTTCTTTTTGGGACCTCCCTTCATCCCTCGTCACATTTGGCCGTGAGTGCTTTGAGTTTCTCGTGCTTCTGAAGCTCGTCCCGCTGGCCCCAATGTTTAGCCAACTCCCGCTTCAGAGATGTATCTGTTGTCGTCAATCTTAGGACCAGTTCTCCGCCCACGTGAACCTGGAAAGGCGTCTCGTCGTTGACTTTGATAACGAACCGCATGTTCATATGCTCTTTCAGCATGTGCTTGAGTCCCAAACAGAAGTTCGCGCTGCGCGGTCTGTTGGACGTCGATCCGCAGAGGCCCAAACCGTCTTCCCGTTGTGTTGTAAGCTCGCGCTCCGGATGAGGGCAACGGCCCTATCTCGGTCCAGCGCGTCCCCGAATTCAGCGTACAAGATGTGGTTCGTGCCACCTGATATGTACAGGTTCTGTGGAGTCGGGCCTGAAAGAGTCGCGAGCTGGTCCTTCAGCCATGCTGCGGCGGTGTCGAACATGTCGAAGCCGTCGAGGTTGCCGAAAACTGCAGTGACCGACCTCGTGTTGTGCACGTCGGCGGAAGCACGTGGGCCTCCGTGGTGTTTGAGTAGTTGGAACTCTCGTTCCAATTCCGGGAGCTTCGTCTGCAATATGGTTTCGACGCTGGCCTCTGACGCCGTCCTCGCTGATGTCGGCCCCTGTGTAGGTGGCCGCGAATCCCGAGCCTCCAGCGACTCCACACGTGTTGTGATATCTTCGGTGGCGGAGTTGATTGGTGCAATGGTGTTCTTGAGGTCCGCTTGAGATTATCCGTGTGTCTTGATGGCGTGTATGTCGTCCCCGATCGGGTTAAGCTGCTCGTTGAGAATATTCCTGAAATCGTCGGCAGTCAGTGGGTGGCTATGGGTTGCGCGCAGACGTGCTTGCGATATAATCCAGTATCCCCGGCATCCTCGAGCCCGTCCATCTTCTGCAGTGGGCTGTGGATCCGGTGTTGCTTCGCTCTCCCCGCTGATGAACGCAACGAAGGTGGTGAAGCAGGTTGCTGAAGGGCATCCTCGAACAAGTGCCTGACTGGGGTACCTGGGTACCTGGCGCGCGGGTGCCGTCGACATCACCCGAAGAAGACATCGCTGCAGGCATGAGCGTGCGGGCAGGGGAAGATAGTGGAGTGGTTAGGAATAGGCGGACATGCCTTGAGCCAGGATTCTCCAGGATTTCTCACCATTTCCTTGCGAGTCCTCGGGTTCGTAAAGATTTGATTTGGATTCCTCCAGATTCCTTCACATGTTTTTTGGGCCACATTGGGTACTTTAAGCTGTTGTCGGGGTTATTCAGGATTCGTTATACTACGTTCAAACTTGTCCGTCGGATTCCTCAGGAGTTCCTGAGGAGGATGTCCTGTGTATCCCGATGCGACACCATCAACATTCCGATCGCATCACAATCGATTTCCAATGTGATGGATTCCAGCGCTCCCACGCGGGAGCTCTATCTGTACACGTGCGTATTTTTCCTACGTTCTTGGTGTTGATTCTAGTCTCCCTCTCCCCCCATGAAATCAATTATTGTAGTTTTGATTCCGTTGATCGCTCGGGGTTTCTTATTTGTTTTCTGGAGTGAGGCTGGTAGTGGCCCAGAGCAACAACAGCCCTCTCTTCCTCCCTCTCCTCCCCTCCCCTCCCTCTCTCCTCCTTCTCCCCTCCTCGCTCCCCTCACTCCCCCCTTCCCTCTTCCGTCGTGCAGCTAATACCGACCCGCGTGATTTGCCAGCCCACTGCGTTGAGGGAACCAGAGTCTGGCCAGGATAAAGACAGGCTTCGCTCCCCATACAGAAGGCCCGCCAAAGGTGGTGCTAGAGCTAGCCCTGGAGGATTTGCGCCAGTACTCCTCCCTTGTGCCACGACGTGCGCCTCTTGCTCATCCCAACGCCCTTCAACGCCCCCCTGCCCCTCTCCGTGCCTGTGCGAGCGCTCTTCCGCAGCCGCGATCCCTCTGCTCCCCCCCCCCTGTGCCGCGCGTGCCCCTGTCTTGGGTGGGGGGCGGGGGCCCCACCCGCCCCGCAGGTCCGGTGGAGCGAGATGAACAGCCCGAGGCGGTTCCCGCCTCCGCGCCCCTCTCCCTTGGCATCGCTCGGTCGTGTGCGCTTCCTCTCGGCAGGGGCCTTCCTGCGAGAGGAGCACGCACGAAGCCGACGAATACACGGTGAGTGAACGTCCGAGCGACGGCGAGCTCTTCGGGTCGTGCTTCGGCGGCGAGCCTGGCGGGGGAAGGCAGCGGGGGCGGGTCTTCCCAGACGGCTCGGAGGGCCCGGAGGCCGGAGGGCTTCCGAGGGACGGCGGGAAGGCCCAGACGGCGGGTCTTCCCAGACGGCTTCGTGGGAGGCCGGAGGGCTTCTGAGAGGCCCCGCCGCCCTTCTGGGAGAAGGCCTGCCGCCTCTCACCTCCCCCCAGGCGCGCCGCCGAGTGTCAGGGGCAACGTTAGAGGTGCGTGTGTGTGTGTGTGCGTCTGTGTGTGCGTCTGTGTGTGCGTCTGTGTGTGCGTCTGTGTGTGCGTGTGCGTGTGCGTGTGCGTGTGCGTGTGCTTGCGTGTGTGTCTGTGTGTGTGCTTGCGTGTGTGTCTGTGTGCGTGCTTGCGTGTGTGTGTGTGTGTGTGTGTGTGTGTGTGTGTGCGTGTGTGGCTCAAGGGAGAGTCGGGCCAGACGAAAGGGGGGGATAGGGAAAGGGGGGGTTACGAGATCTGCTGCATGCAGCTGGTTTCAGTCCCGCCGATGGGCCCATTCCTCGATACATGGCCGCTTCCGGCGCCGGGAGGCGCCAGGAAAATCAGCTACGTAAGCTGATTCAGAACCACCCCCTTTGCTATCCTCCCCTTTCGCCCGATCCGAGAGAGGCTCGATGTTCGAGGCTTCTGGCTTCGAGGCACGAGGTTTTCGGGGGCGCCTTCGTCGGTTCTCGGCGGCTTCCCAGCCTCGGGACGCTTCCCAGGCGTCGTCCTGAACGGCCGCCAGCGAGCCGAAATACGACCCGAAGACCAGGGGGCAACGCTAGAGAGGCGATGTGCTCAGCGGGGAACGCATCGACGCCTACTCGCCCACAGATCGCCGAGAAAGGCTCTTGTAGCCCCTCCCGCCCAGGAGCCCGCCGTTTCGCCCGTCGCGGGCCTGCCGTCGCCGGTCTGTCGGTGATGCACTGCCGATTCCAGGTCGATGTTTCCCCCCCTTGGAGCGGGTCCCATCTCAGTGTTCCCCTTCGTCCCAGTCTCGGCGCCACTCCTCGGGTCGTGGGGAGGCCACGTCGTGAGGTGCAGGCGGGGGAGGAGAGGCGGGAGGGGGGAGCGCGGGATGGCTTCCGGAGAGGGGAACGCTCTGGGTAAGTACCGGGGCCTTTCTCATGCCGTTGCCGGCCGCACATCCTCTCTCTTTCTCTCTTTCGCTTGTTCCCTTTCCCTCTTTCTCTCTGTCTCTCTGTCTTTCTCTCTTTCTCTCTTTCTCTCTCTTTCTCTCTCTCTCTCTCCCTCTCCCTCTCTCTTTCTCTCTCTCTCTCTCCCTTTCTCTGTCTCCCTCTCGCTCTCTCGCTCGCTATTGCTTTCCCCTATTCCTATCTATGTGGCATCCAGCCAGCAACACATCACGTAGATCTCTCAGAGTTGTGAGGGGGAGCTCTCATACTGGGGGTATTGCATCATGTTGAAGCAGGAGCCGCTATATAGATATTTGGGACAAGAAGATTGCAGATGCGCGTGGTGCGAAAGTGATAACAGTTCAATCGCATCCGCAAAAAACACAGTTGAAAACAGCTGCTGACAGTTGAAACAAAAACAGGGAATCAGCTGATGTCAGCAATTCTGCTGGCGCCCCGAACACCGGGATTATTTGCCAGAGCGTTGCGCGTTTGGTTTTCCAGGCTTCGTTCATTTGTTTTGGCACTGCTGCCACTTTTCCTTATGTCGTTCTCCCTGCGCCCTCCTCCGTCCCTTCCTCCTTGCCATGGCTTCCGGCCCCGGCCCTGTGCTCTCTCTGTCTCTCTTGTTCCCCCTCCTCCTTTTTTTTTTTTTCTCTCTCTCTCTCTCTCTTGTACTCTCTCTTGTAGTCTCGGCTCGAGAGCTTTGCCCAGAGCGAGCCCAGACGCCAAGCGTCCGCTTCTCCCCTTCTTGCCTCGCGAGACCGGACACGACCCACCCAGGTCGTGACAGATTGACTTTCCCCCCGTACCCCGCAGACGGGGCAGCCATGGCTCCGAACTCGACTGGCCGCCGCCGCCGGACCTCCAAACAACCAGCGCCGCGCAAACTGCGTGTGGAAGGAACACCTTCATCGCAAGCAGGTGTGCGTCGCATCACTCGTCAAGAGTGGCTACGACCGAGCCGTCCAGGCGTACAACCTACTGGCACAGCACCACGCTGACGACCTCCAAGATGCCTTCGACAAACACCACGACGACCCTACAACACTGAACGCCGCCCAGGCGCGCTTGTGTGAGAATCACGGCATCAGCTATACGCAGGACCACTACGCACGCACCATGCAAAAGCGTGAGGGTACCATGAAGGCCCCTCGTCGCCAAGCCGCACGCCCACAAACTGCATCTGATACAGCACCATACGTCAGCCTCGACCCTGACTATTGTGTGTACGCGTCGCATCGGCACCTACCAAAGGTGTCGACAGTGCTACCTACCAAGACGGCGTCTCCCTACATGACATCGAAGACGGTGACAAGATCCTCGAACAAGTTTTGGGGCAGGGCACCCGCCCAGACGTTGCCATGGCCATCGCTGTACTCGGCCCTATCAACCCTTCGTACGTTGGCGCTGTTACCGCCAGCTCCGTGCTAAAACGAGGACCCAAGACGACCAAACCAGTGCCGACCCACATACATGGAACGCTCGATCAAGTCGGTCCGGTGCAAGCAAAAAGTCGTCCAGGTCCAGCTCGACCCGGCACACCACGTGGCCTGGGTCCGAACCACGCTACACGAGACTGGCTCCATCGGCGCCGCCCCCTTTTTGCACCAGCCCTTCGAGGATCAGTTTTCGGGTGCTGCCGCGGTAAACGGAGGCCCCAGGCAGCAGAACAACAAAGGGGGCGGCTTGGCACTGGACTGAGCCAGGGAGGAGCAATACGTCCAAGACAGACGAGAAACCCTGCCAGCTCGACAACGATTTACAAGACACCTTCGCAGCCATCTTCCACAATCAGTTCCCCGCTGTGAAGACCCTTGAGCCCTGCAAAGCCTTCGGGCGCTTCGGCTCTGGACTAGGCAAACGATCCCTAACGGCCACCCTCGGCACAACAGGACGCCGTCACAGTGTTACGTGCCTCAGGGCTCACGGGTGCCACCTACGAGCCGAGCAACTCTGGCGCCAAGACGCCCACCATGGACTAGTATCAGACAATCTGGTACCCAGACGGCCACGCGGGAAGTCTTGCCGACGCCTACACCATCTCCAGCGAACTGGCGGGGTTCGAAGCCGTGAAGCACGGGGGAACAGGCGCCCTCGGCATCCGAGCAGCGCGCGATTCACAGATCGCCTTGGACGTTGCCCTACGAATGCGTGGCGCGGACGCATCGCTTGCCACGCACCGCTGCAGGACTACAGGCATCGAGTCCAAGTGTGCTACCATCGCCCAGGTCTGCAAGGTGCTTACAGTCTTCCAAATAGACTTGTGAAGTCTACCACGCGGCCTAGAATGGGAAAGCTACATCCCGCTTTGCCCTCGCTCGCGCCCGCGGACCACCGCCGAGCGCCGCAGTAAAGGTCCAAGAGTGCACCGTTCCATGGGCAATTACCGAAGCACCCCTCGCCGACGCTGGAAGACGCGCCGCCGCATGGTCAGCCTACCACCATCCGCGACGTCCGCGCGCATCAGTCTCTCGGGGGGGGCGGCCCCAGCCCCTCCCAAACTCTCATCGAGAAAGCGGCCAATCGCTGCTGTCTCCACGACCCCATGGCGGCCCCCATCCCCAGCGGCAAGGGCGCAGCCGCAGGGGGGCCCCCCATCGAACAGCCGCGATCAGAGAGCGCCGCGCGCTGCGCGCGCTTCGCTGCCGCTGTGGAAGGGGGCCGCGCCAGCCCAGTGAAAAGTGACTCCGAGGGCTCTGCTGACACCCTTGACACCCTCGTGCTTGTGGAGGTGGGCTCCGTGGGCCCAGTGGTTCTTCAAGAGACCAGCGAACAACGGAGCCGGCCGACAGAGGCGCTGCCCCTTCCCTTTCCGCGGACACCCGTTGCGGGAACTGACGCCCCCCCCCTTCCGAAACCCGAATCAGCCGCGGTTCGGATGGCGAGGAGGGCCGCAGGGGAGCCTGCTCTGAAGGCTCCAGGGGGGGCTCCACGAGTTCGGACCGTGCAGCGGCTCGCCAGCTGCAGCTGCCGTTCGATTGGAACCGATGGAAAACGCTTATGACCAGCTAGCCCAACAGGTCTATGGCCCCCGAGGCAACGTCGCACAACAAATGGTGTCTCGGTCCACGCTCACTGACGCTGTCGCCAGACAAGATGGGGGGCTCTCAGCGGCGGCCGCAGAACAGCAGTTCGCTGACAGCGCCGCCGACACCATGCGCAACGACCTCCAGCAGGATAGCCCTTCAGACAGGCGGGCTCACCGCCGCTCCCAACGCTGGGGATCGCCGCCGCGCCGCCCGAGAGCGGCAAGGTTGCCGATCGCCCCGCTCTGGTCGCCGCTCAAAACGCCGAGGTCGTAGCCGCCCCCCCCGGCCGCAGTCGCCGCCGCCGCTGCGCCTCCGCAGCGCCGCGAGGCGGCGCGAATGGTTCTGGCCGTGCAAGACCCAAACTCGCAAAAGACGCGGGCGCGCTCCAAAGTGCACCTGCGTGGCCTCCATTTGCGGTTTCGCCGGCGGAGGTGCCGCCGGCCTCCGCGAGGCCGCGACTTCAGCCGCCAGGGTTAGCCGTGCCCCCTTGTGTTCAGTGCCTGGGCGACAATGCGGATCTAGACGCGAGCGTATTTTTCGTGCGCGTGCGTCAGGCAGGCCGGCGCAACTCTGGACAGGGCTTTCCAGGCGCTAACGCGCCAATCTTCGCCGCCAACAACGATTGGGACCGCCGCGCCAAGTGCGCCGGCGCCGCGCGGATA